TTTATTTTTTTAAAATTTTTATTTTGTAATTTTCTGTGTGTGTACCGTCAAATTGGATCTGACTGGTACAGGAGGAGATAGCCCCTCCTTCTCCAGCAGAGCATCTGGTGGAATCGAACCACATATCTCTGGGATTGCAGTGCAGCTTCTTGCCACTAGGCCACCAGAGCTCCCCAGATATAAAAATTTTTAAATATTATTTCTGTTACATGTTTTAGGAAATAATGAAATCAAAGGCTTTTTCTTTTTTTGTTGTTGTTCAGTGGTGAGATGTTAATTTTTAAATTTTCTTTTTCAGGTTAGAAAAGCACCTAATGCCAGTGATTTTGATGTGTGGGAAACTGAAACAGTGTACTCGAATTCAGAACTCACAGACTTGAATATTCCTGCTACATTTTCAAATAGCTTGCCAAGCCCTCCTGAACACTGTACTTCAGCAAAGCTTGAAAGAAGAACTAGAATTTTGCCCTTGGCTAATGAGGACCAATGTCCATCAGTAGGAGTAGACTTAGCTAGTGACTCGGAAGGACTTAGTGCCCCGAAGCAGCATGATAGTTCAGCTATTAGCCACACGGAAAACGAAGCTTCTCCAAAGGGCTCTGTAGCAGTCCTACAGGAGACTCTGATTTCTGATCGTCTGTCCCCCGGAAAAGAAGAACAGAGTCCGCAGCTCTTGGAAGAAACTCCTCCTGACCCCTACATAATGAGTCTTCAAAACCTGATGAAAAAGTCAAAGGAATATATAGAAAGAGAGCAGTCCAGGCGTGGTCTGAGAGGCAGTGCAAAGAGGATTTTTAATGAGAGCCATTCAGACAAAGAAAATGATGCCGTTAAAGTGACTGCCTGTGTGAAGGAGAAAGCCCACGTGATGGGCAAACACTGCAGCTCCGTTATTCCCGACAAACCAAGCCTTAACAAGTCAAACGTGCTTCTCCAGGGTGCTTCTTCAAGCAGTGGGCACACACCCATGTTAGCTAGCTTTTCTAAAGCGGACATACCTGTACGCACTGGCCACCCCACTATTTTAGATTCTGATTCGGATTTTAAAGTAATGCCCTCTCTCGTTTCTGACAACAATGTTATCAAAAATCTTCCAAGTTCATATGCCAAATTACCTAGTCCTGAGCCAAGTCTGAGTCCAAAAATGCATCGAAGATGTTCTCGGCCGTCCTCGGCGTGTCATATCCTCATAAATAACCCAGTAAATGCCTGTGAACTGAGCCCCAAAGGGAAAGAGCAGGCTGTGGACCTCATTGTTCAAGGTAGTGATGAGAACACGAACATGCCTGAAATTGTGCCAAAGGTACCCCTTGATTTAACCGCAGAATGTCCAAGCAGGGATCATGACAACAGAAGTCAGCCTGAGGCTGTCGAAGAAACAGCTTTAAGTAAATCAAATCAGGTATGTCCATCTTCAGGAAATCGATTAGAAAATGAAATTATTCCTGGACTTGATGTTGAGGAAAGTCACGGCACATCTGATGGCAGGGGACCACACAAAACGGACAGTCCCTGCACCACCGTCCTGAGATTGCACGAGCCATGTGGCACTGAGCAATGTGTGGTGAGTCAACACTTCGAGACCGCGGGTGGGCCTCAGCCAGCCAGTGTGCTCGAGAAAAGCGCCTGCCCCGTTCCGATGGGATTGAATAAGTCTTACGATGTGAAGAACCCGTCTCCTTTACTGATGCAGAAACAGAATGATAGGCAGCAGACGGGCACGCCTGCACTGTCCTGCGGAAGCGAGCCATTTTTGGAAAACAGTTTTGAGAACGTCAAACGGAGACTTGATTTAGATATGGATGATTTGCAAAAAGAAAACCACCCTTACGTCCTAACAACTGGAATAGCTGAACAGGAAAAGCAAGCTCTGGAGAAAAGATACCCTAAGGAATATGTTTGCATGAACAAAAACAAAATCTTGGAAAACAGCTTAAAAGGTGAGGAAACTGTGAAACATTTGATGCCTGGAAAGCAGATATGCCATTATTTTATTTTTAGTGGTTTTGTTTTGTTTTTAGGCACACACTTTTATTTTTAACACTTTGTATTGATATTTTACAAAAACACATTCTCATCAGTATACTTAATTTCATTTACCATAATGTATAGCATATAATTCTCAAAACAAATAAAAAAACCAAATCACAGTCATAGAATCAATTCCACCTCATCTTGACCTGGTAGCACCAAATAGCTGTCTCATGAGGTTTCTAAGATTAAATCTTTCTAGAAGCAGGTTGCCACATTGGTCTCTTTAATTGTGGCCAGGACCTCGAACCTGCGAGTTTTCAGCAGTCAAGCACCTAACCACTGTATCACCAGGGCTCCTTATTGAGACAGTAATCATACTTATCTTCAAGGAAAATCACAGCAAAGAGTTTGAGTTTTGTCTTTTTTTTAAATACTTTTCTAGAACCATAAGCTGAAAAAGCTTTATACCATCAAAGGTATATGTTATTTAAAAGGCAAAGCAAAGCTAAACGCTCAATTTCCCGAGTCGCTGTCTTCCAGCCTCTGTCTGGTGGCTGGAATGGCCTGTGGAAATAAGAGAACTTGTCTGCCAGGGAAACATCAAGAAAACTCAGGAGATTAGCAAGGCAAAGAGAGCTGAGGATAGTTTTCTCAGAGAAAGAGATTCTGAGATCATGCAACAAAAGCAGAAGGTAGCTAAAGAGAAGTCTTTGCAGACCAGAAAATGATGACTGGCTAACTTGGAAACCTGGCTGTTACAGCCAACTAGATATATCATACACTCTTTAAGATTTTTGTACAGTGAATAGTCATTACATATGTTACCATTTATTTATCCTTATAAAATAGTCTATTTGAAATTTCACCTTTCAACCTGATTTATTAGTGTGATGTTTTAGAACTGCTCTTTGAAACATAAATCACCATCCATGCATGTCACATACTGGTGAACATTATCTTTTATCAACTGTGAACATTAGGTAGATAATGTGATATATAAGAGGATCTCATGTAAGTGTATAGTCTTTGCCGTAAATTTTGTTAAAGTAGATTTTTAAAGTCTGTTATGTAATCTACAATCATGTGCATAATTTTACTTGTGACCAACTTATTTGCCTGAATAATTTTAGTACACACTACAAACCACAACCAGGAATATCGATTGCTCCAATTAGTGCTTTGGCTTTTTTTTTTTTAAATGAGTGCCATTTTAAATTCTTTCTGAAAGGGAGCTCTGGTGGCCTACTGGCAAGAAGCTGCACTGCAATCCCAGAGGCGTGGGGTTTGAATCCACCATATTGTCTGCTGGAGAAAGAGGGGCAATCTCCTCCTGTACCAGTCAGATCTGATTTGACAGTACACACACAAATAACTAAAAAAAAAAAAAGTAAATTTTTTTTGAAGCTCTTCTAACACTTGGAGCTTGATGGTGGGTATAAATAAGGAAATGTGTTACCCTAAAGAAATTAGGCTTGACACCATATGTGCTTGTTTATGTCCAAGAAAACATAAATGTTGTTGAAGTAGTGAATAACTTTATATCTTGCCATCTAACAGAAGGATTGATGCTTTGAGATCATCCAGTAATTCCTGGGAGAAATATCTAGTGATCTACTCCCATAAAGATTATAACCTAGAAAATCCATTGGCAAATTTGTCCTCTTGTCACAAGTTGCTAGGAGTAGAAAATCTACGCACTAGCACCCAATAACCACACAACTATATAACTATAATTCAGATACTTGATTTTTTACATATGTAATTCAGCACATTTTTTTACTGATCATCTGATAAGTCAACTGCTACCTAAACTGGTAGTTGTTGAAGTCTCTTAATAGCCTTAATGAAGGTTCTGGCAAATCTTATGGTAGTAATTTGACAGGGGTGCCTTCCATAACCTAAGGATGAAATTCTAAGGACATCAGATGAGACAGACTTGACATTTTTTTAGCCTGTGTTTTTATCTTATTAGCACAGATTTTTACTTAAAGTGAAATTTTGTTTTTTGTGTTAATTATGTCCTTTAAAGTTTCTATGAGGATAGTCACAAAGGCATAATTACAGCAGCTCAAGTTATTTTGAAGAAAAGGGTTAATGAAGAAGATTATACTGAAGCGGAAAAAAACCCCCAACCCAGAAGACTGTGTGGATAGATCAGCATAGTGATAGCTGGGTCACAGCTGAGATCAGAGTGCATGCTGGACTGGGTGCCATCTACAGAGAATTCAGCCCAGCCTCCCCGGAGGAAATACTGGATGCCCTCTGCAGACAGAGGGTTCCTCCCAGTCTCCCACCACAGGGGATAGATACCATGCCTGAACTTTGGAATCATCCTGCTCTTGGGGTTTGTTTGTGTTTTTTTTTTAAATTTTATTATTATTTTGTGTGTGTGTACTGTTGAATCAGATCTGACTGGTACAGGAGGAGATTGTCCCTCCTTCCCCAGCAGAGCATCTGGTGGATTTGAACCAAGTGCCTTTGGTATATTGCAGCGCGGCTTCTTGCCCCTAGGCCACCAGAGCTCCCTTCTGCTCTTGGTTTAAGAATTAAGTTTACCCATTATTATGTTGGCCACACTTAACATATAAGGAAAATATAGCCTCACAAGATAGGAATTTTTTATTGTTGGTTTAAGCTCAATATAAGCCATGGGAAAGCTGAGGAGGATGCCTTTTCACGTGCTGAGCTGTGGAGGACCTCGGCCTGGCATTCCTCTTCTGCAGAATTCATTTCCTCATGTCCCTGTTTTCATTCTGCATCCAGTTAACAAGAAGACTGTTACACAAATGACCTTGAAAATGACGAAAATCAGAAGAATAAATAGAAATGAGGTGCAATTGAAGACCAGCCTCAAAGTTAATTAGAATAAGGGTAATTTTGACAGCAAAGGTCTTGGCAACATCAGGTTAGACGAGGATGGGATCTGTCTACTGAGTGGGTAAAATGGTGAGATGTGTGTGAGCATGTAAAGATGTGGCAGAGTGAGAAGGTGGGCGGCCCTCCTGTATTTTGATCACAGAGATCAGGGAATACTTCAGTCAGAAGCAGATATAAATCGGTGGTATAGAATATGGAGTATTAGCACTGTCGTGAATTTCCTTAATTTGATGGGACGTTTTTCTTTTTAGAAGGTGAGGAGATATTAAAATGCAAGATGTTAGCTTTGGAAGAAATGCGGAAGAGACTAGAAGAACAGCATGCCCAGCAGTTATCACTCCTCATTGCGGAGCAGGAGAGAGAACAGGAAAGACTGCAGAAGGTGAGGAGTTAGAACAGAGGAATGTGGGACTGATAAGTGAAACAAAGCAGGGGACACTTTTTTACTTCAGTCAAAGACAAGATACATCTCATCCCGGCACATTTTAATGTGTGAAGGTCATTGATTTGGGGCGTTTTGGGAGGTCCTTAATTTTGATGCATATATATAGTGTTTTTCACTGCCAACATAAGAAGTTTAATATTTAAATCTTAATATAAAGCAGGGAGCTCTGGTGGCCTAGTGGCGAGAAGCTGTGTTGCCATCCCAAAGGCAGTGGGGTTCGAGGCCACCAGCTGCTCCGCGGGAGAAGGATGGCAGTCTCCTCCCTTGTGATTAATTGCCTCTGAAAACCTGCTGTTGGATCAGTGGGTCAGTTCCAACTCAATGGTAAATAAAAGCAATAATATAAAAGTAATTGCATAATTCATCAAAGGAACACTGTTAAATCTTTGATTTAAAACTTGAATAATTTAGAACAGAATCTTACAGACTAGATGCCAGAATGTACATTCTGCAAGAACTATATCATAAGGGGAAGGATCCTTGTTTTAAAAATCCTACGCTTAATGTACAGTGTTTTAAATACAACTGAATCCCATTTACAGGAGGGAAAACTTGGAATAATGCTTTGCTGGTAATTACACAGATTTTCGGCTGAAAATCATAGTGTTTTGGGGAGGTAATTGAGCAAGAGATCTAGCTTATTAAACTGTTAATCTGCAGGAAATAGAAGAGCAGGAGAAAATGTTTAAAGAGAAGAAGGTGATGGCCGTTGATGCCTCCGACCTGGACAGTCACAGTGCGGTGGAGTTGGACTGGAGGAAAAGAAGTGACTCTGGCTTGCTCGAAACAATGCCGTCTCCAGTGGACTCGCCCCGTACTTCACATTCAAATAGTTCTGGTAATTAACACCGTTTTGAGCAACCACACTTTGAACGTTTAGCTCCTCTGATCGAGTATCTGTGTGTCCACCTCACTGCTCTTTGCCTGCTGTTTAGTGACCACTGAGACATGGCAGCTGCAGATGGAAAGGCTGCAGTGCTCATGAGAAAGGACCATCTTAGTGAGAAAAGTGTCAGGAAGTGCTGCTCAGCCACCAGGTCATGCTTGTTCATGCAGCAGGTGACATACTTCAAGGGAAAGCACGCTCTGCGTCTCCTGAGTGATCTTGAATTACATCTAATCCCCCCCGCTGTCACTGTAAGAGCTTATCTTCACATCTTCAATTATCCTGAGATGCTGTTTGTGTTAATGTCATCAATATTTGAGGTCCGCATGTAGATCAGTTTCAAGGGCAGGTGTTACTTTTCATGGGTGTCATAAGTGTGTGTTTGAATCTTCTGGATAGTCTTGTCTTTATAATGTGAAGTCTAATGCTCTGTATTTCTTCTGTAGTTTTCATGAATTCTGCCCTGCAACATAGCTTTGGTTCTGCAAACGAATCACCATTCTACCTCTGGGGATCGTCAGCTAGTGGCATGACTAAGATCTCAGTCAGAAGACCTTTTGGCAGGGCCAAAACCAGATGGTGTCAGGTGGGCACATTTAGTTCTGTACCATCAAGTGATATATTGCAGTGCACAGATCTGCAAAGGATCTCTTTAAAGTGTTAAAAAGTAAAGCTGTCATTTTGAGGAACAGACACTTTGTGCCTAGCCCAAGCCATGTTATTTTCAATGATCTCGTGTGAAAACTAGACAATGAATTACGGTATTGGTGAAGTGTGGAAGCCAGGTGCTAAACCAATTGCTTAATCAGGAACTGACGGAGGCACAAAACAAGCTGGAATTCCTCTTGTTATAGATTACAAGGAACAAGGCAGTATTTCTCCAGAGACAGATCGCAGGAGATAGGCATACCCGCATACCCAACAAACCAGGAGTTGCCCGCTGCCTCCCAGTTTGTCCTTGTGGTCTCATCGTTCCTGAGATAACAAAAGAATGTTAGCAAAGAAAAACATAGCCAGTTAGTAAAGAATTTTCTCTGTAACTTATCTCCTGGCAATTTTCAATAAAGCAAGAGAGACTCTTAAGCTGACAGGGCAGTCTCGTAGCTGTACACCCCCTGCCTTTACTCTCTGTTCTCCCCCTCATTTCTTGGTGTCCCCGTCTCGTTCATTCATCCTAGTTGACAATAGTGAAGAATACTCGGCATACCATGGACTGCCAGTAGAACAAACAAATCTGTTTAGGGAGCAGTACAGCCAGAGGTTCCTTTGATGTCAGATTGTGGAGACTTCATCTCATATACTTTAAGTATGTTGTTGAGTGACGTTATCTTGGGTTTTACAAAGAGCATCAGTTCTCTCTCTCTATCTATATATATATATGGCATATAGATGACACTTTCTACTCGTTGTTGAGTCCACCAAATCATAGTGGACCTTTCAGCTGATTTTCAGAGCCTGTATGTAATTTATATGTCCAAGTACAGAGGAACTTAATGTTTGCTATTTCTAGTTAGGAATTTAGTTTGTTGACTGTAATAACGAAGAAAAACGATCTTGAAAGGAATACTCAAACTCATACAAATTTTACTTATCTTCTCTCCTAGATTTTCAGTCCAGAAATACAAGCAAAATTCAACAAAATAAGTGCCGTGGCAAAAGGATTTCTTACTCGCAGGCTTATGCAGACAGAGAAGCTGAAACAACTTCAGCAGACTGTGAAAGTAAGGTGATTGTTTTGGCGATCCAACTGGTGGATTAGTTCCGAATCTTTACCTTTCAAACAGTTTTTTTAATCTTGTAAAATAGGCTGTTTTTAAAACTGCTAATCTCATTCTGCTGTTTAATATGTAAATGAAGTCATTTTAGGTCTTTTGAGTTTTTTGATCTCACTTAAAGGGAATGTTGTTTGATTTCCTAGTGTTCTCAGTAATTTGTATTCCTCACTGCTTTTGATTGAGATAAGGAGCAAAGAGGAAAGTCCAGTAACAAAGTATTAAAAAAACAGTTTTTGAAGGAACATCTTCTTTGTTCAGGATACTATGGAATTCATGAGAAGTTTTCAGTCAGAAGCACCGTTAAAGAGAGGAGTGGTTTCAGCACAAGATGCGTCCCTTCAAGAAAGAGTGTTAGCGCAGGTAAACGCACACACCGTAAAGGCATTTTGAGAAATCACAACTTACTGCTCTTGAGTTGGAATTGACACTCACAGCTGGCCCTCCAGCAGGTGTTCAGTCAGTTAATCCCATGGAGGAGATTGCCCTTTTTTCCCCTGCAGAACAACTGATGGATCCAAACCGCCCGCCTTTGGCTTAGCAGTACAGCACTCTTTCCCCTTGGCCAGCAGAACTCCTTTTTGACCCTTTGACAGCACATAAACGGAAATTGGAATGATAAGAGAAGATTAGCATTGCCCCTGTGCAAAGATAACACACAAACTTGTGAAGCTTTCCATACTTTTATATCCATATGTATTTATCTCTGAAATATATATATCTATATATCGATATACATATATACCAGCGCTTCATGAGTTTTGTGTGTGTGTTTATCTATGTAAATAGAAGGGTTGTATTTATCTCATTAATTTCTGAAGTTTCAATGAAAACTTTCGATGAAGAGTACATGGATAGTAATATTGAACTCGCTCATTTTTCTTAGTAGTTAGTGTGTTTTCTTTCTTTTGAACCTAGTTACGAGCTGCCCTTTATGGTATTCATGATATTTTCTTTGTGATGGATGCAGCTGAAAGAATGTCTATTCTACAACACGATCGAGAAGTTCAAAAAGAGAAAATGCTCAGGCAAATGGTATGTTATATGACTTTTCTGCTGAATGAGGTTCAGCTGAGTTTGAGCTTCCGGACAAATCCATATACAATAGAACAGAACAGTCCCCATGATCAGTTATATTTTGGGCCAAAAGGTTTTCATTGACTGGTTCTTGGAAGTAGGTCACCAGACCATTTTTCCTAGGTGGGCTTGTCTGAAGGTGTCTCTGAACATGCTCCTTGTGGGCTGTGCGTGAGCTGCCCTTTATGGGCAGCGTTGGCTGGAATTGAACCTAGGTCTCTGAGAGATAGTGAGAAATCTACCACTGAAACATCACCAACCTCCCAGGTTTAGGGTGGTGGTGGTTATTGTGTACCATAGAGTTGGAATCGACTTATAGCTGACCGTCTAGCAGATTTTCAGAGGCAGTTAATGGCTCCTGTGGAGCAGCTCATGGCCTCGAACCATGTGCCTTCCGGATTGCAGTGCCGCTCCTTGCCATTAGGATACTAGAGCTCCCTCCTGCCACTGAAAGATCCAAATTATTTAAAGAAGAGCCAAAGTTATATATACCTCAGGAGAAAATTTATAAAGGGTCAGTGAACCATCTGGTGAGAAATGGAATCCATTTGAGAGCCAAAAACTTAACATTATTAACTGGGGAAGAGTGGACCCCATGCAGTTAACACTGTTTATATACCAATGAATGTGGTAATATTTGGATGAATTATGCCACTTGGTAAAAGATGAAGATCATATTCTGCAGAATCTACAACAGCTATATGGCCAGCATTATTTCCTCACTGGCATACTATTCTTTATTGACTTTCAAGCCCAACCTACAATTATTAAACACATAATTCCTGGGATTAGCATGTATCTCTATTAACATGTATCTCTAGAGAGATTGAAAAGAAATTATTAAAGAATTACAGACTGTATCTTATTAGATTTGAGGAATTAAAACTTTGACTATGGGTTAGTTGGCTTATAATGAAAAATTGTTAGCTATAATTAATTACTTGAATTTCCTTAGAGGTATATTGTGGGGTGTTTTAAAGTCAAGGTTAGAAAACAGGCTCCAAGTGAATTAGAAATATACAGCCTTCCCTCCTTTTATTGCGCTTCACAGATATTGCATTTCTGTACAGATTGAGGTATTATTTCATGGGAAAATTTAAGACAATTATTTGTTTAAAACATATATGCTTCAATGACTGTAGGGAAATTTTCAAGTTAAATACAATGGTACCTCTGTGCTAGTTTTTCTCTGCAAGTTAGGATCATTTAATACTATAAATTAATACTATACTGCTGTTATTTTTGTTTTTAAGGATAAAATGAAAAGCCCACGAGTGGCTCTTTCAGCTGCAACACAGAAGTCTCTTGATAGGAAGAAGTACATGAAGTAAGATTTTTTTAATGTCATGTCACACTAATTCCATTCTTATAAAATGAACTAATTTTATTACTTAGCTGATTTCTAATGTTCCAATTGAAAGAGAGTTAAATTTTTTTCTACCTGAACTGATAGGAATTCCTTTTTTTTTTTTTCTATAATTATATTTTATTAATTTTCATAAACATTTACAGAGATTTTGGGCTTCCACTCATTCATTGTTGCACTATTCTCTCTACCCT